AAGTTAATTTCATAAGAATTTAAACTTTTTTCTTAGTCTTAGTGTACTATCAATTAGATGAGATCAGTTTACATAATGTCCTCTTTTGCCACCAATTTTACTGACTCAAGTAAACTCAGTGTAGTATCTGTTACTAACAGAGCACTCATTTGTCACTGGTGAATGCACATTATGTCCTCCAGCGTGGCAGTGACTTTATCCACGGTTCCCAGGGGAACCAGAGTATATCACTCATGGTGCTTGGTGAGCTCATAAAGCTATTTATAATGTGTAACACAACCATTAATAGTTTAAATATTTATAACCATCTTTAATAGCTATATATCACCGATACAACAACAAAAATACATATGGAAAGAAAACGGTTTCTTTTTCAAAGGTAAAACTGATAACTTTGCCTTTAAATGCACTTGGGAGAAAAACTAGAGTAGCGTGTGCACAAAACTGGCCCCTCAGGAGAAATGTGTCCTAGCACACAATAGCCTTTCAGCATCATTACCTACCTGAACAATGTATTTGCTTGTTTGTTGGATTTTCTTACTTTCCTGTGTCCAGTTAGTTCAGGTTGGATTAACTTATCTAATAGACATCTCAAAGTTAACCCATACAAAACTGAGCACTTGACCCCTGCCCTCCCAGCTCCACTCAAAATCCCCAGCTCCACCAGAAATCATCCCTTCCCAGTCAGTCACATGTTCCATTCTCTGTTGCTCAGGCCAAAATCCTCCGAGTCATCCTTTACTCTTGTCTTTCTCTCCTCTCGCTTCTCTCTGAATCCTCTAATTAGAAACATGTTCATTGACATACAATATCTTACAGTGTCAGAAGGTTCACGGCTGTCATGAAGCCTTGAAACTTTATGGACTTTAGATTAAGAACTCCTATCCAATGCCCCTTCCTGGTTTATAATCACACTGTGCTTTTAAATGAAAGCTTTTATTGTAAGATGAGACAGATTTGAAATATGATTTACTTTCCAAACAAATAAATGATACATTAATAGTTCTTTTAATCAGTAGAAAAATCTTAATTGGGACTTCCCATTTTTCTCTTTAAGTATTGGTAGTAAGAAAGTCTTAATGTGGAAAATCCATCATGAAGGAGCTTAAGGATCAGATAAAGGACCTCAAGTCTGCCTTACCAGATTCTAGAGAACTTACATATTCACGGTATTGTTTAGTAGTTAGATAAGCGGGGGCACTGGGCAGATAAGGTGGAGGCAGAGATGGTGCAGAAGATGGTGTTATGCCCGTGTCCAGCATAAAGGGAATCTACTTCTTCTAAATGAGTGCCAGCAAGAAACTGGTTAGAACTGGACAGCTGCAACTGTGCAGTAGTGAAAGGATCTAACCGGACATGACCCAGTGCTCATTATAATATAATAAGCATTGCAGTTTAGGCCCACCCACCGTGGGTTTTCCTGTGTGCATCATGAGTAAGGACATGTGCAAAAGTGGGTAAGCATGACTAAGCACTCCAGGCAAGAGCTGTCAATCAGTCAAGAGACCACCTCTAAGCAAGGGTGTAAGAGAAGGGGCCAACAAAGGCCATTGCTCTCCACCCTTGGATCAGCCCACCTCCCGTTCTTGGAGGTGTTCTTTCCCTTTGCTAAATAAAACCTTTAAAATCTTTCCCTGTACAACACTCCCTTCTGAATTCTTCTCTTTTGGGTAAGACAAGAACTGAGATCTTTTCCCTTCTCCTTTTGGGTAACAATATGATCAAAAACAGGGTTTTTGTGACTTAAAAGTCTTTAAACATTAATTTGAAATTGCAGTGTGAAAAGACTGCCACCTACCATGTATGCAAGAGACTTGGATTTCTTTTGAAAACTCACTGGAAACCTTACTCTTTTGTAAGTTAATTAAGTGCAATCAAGTAAATTTTCATTATACAATTAGAAATTGCAATATTATCATACAAACTTTGTTGAGTGTGAAAAAACCCTGCCTGAAATTCCAAGAAGTTCTTGATCTTAAAATTATGACAGTCTATTTATTGCCCTAGATTTTTGCTTATCATTTTAAGTTATAAGCAATAATAAAGAACATGGTTTTTACTTCGTTGTATCTTTTTACTATTCTTGTCATAATACTCTTTTTTCTAACAAAATTATATTTTTATTTTAAGCCTGTAATCTTTAATCATTTAAGTAGAAAATCAGCTTTTAAAT